AAGCACGCACGACGCTCAGCCACTGGTGAAAGCGCGCACGACGCTCAGCCGCTGGCGAAAGCACGCACGACGCTCAGCCACTGGTGAAAGCGCGCCATAGCCCATTGTGCTCTTTCAGAATGTACACATATCTCATCTTTTTGGAAAATGAACTTGCGTGGTTTCGCCAGCGGCTGAGCGTCGTCGTGCGTGCGAATGTTGTATCTATTCTCACCCATTTTTCTATACTAACCCACCATGTGTCATCCATTTCGTCTGTTATGTTTATAAATCCATTCCACACCTGATTTTCGAACTTTTTACTGGGGTTGAAGTGAGAAATCTTAAAGAACACCCTTTTGTCATCCTCACTGCATGTGGTGACTCTCTCCATCCATACGTTCCATGGACCCTAAACAGATAACTATATGAATTTGTAAACGTAATTCGCGTAGCGCACACACTTTAAATGCACTGGGCAGGTTTACCTACTAACGAAAACAAACACAATGAGTTATATTAAAGATATATAAGATGAGTGAGATTTAAAGACATATAAGATGAGTGAGATGGATTAAAATCGAACACACACTGCGAATGTCGGTATGACTCCTCCACTAGCTGCGCGAAAAACCACCGCCGTCGTTAGAATTTTAAACACAAATGAATCCATACGTCAGCTGGTTCGGGAGTAGAACTGTCACAGATCGTTGTCAAACACGTCCAGGCGTCCAGGCGACACCGGCAAATTGAGAGAGTGCTCTAACCGGAAGCAGTTAGCGTGTAGCAGCAGAGGAAGGACTTTTTTTATCCGCCAAAAAGGGTTACACTGTTAAAAAAAGTTGTAAAATCATGACACAGTTTGTGATGAGAAAGTTGGTAAAAATAAAACGGGGATCATTCGTTTATATTGGCATGTGAAAAAGATCAGGGGCTCGGTGAACGCATCGATATTTCGCATGAGGCTGGGGTGAGGAACCGCATAAAATGAAAAAAAAACAAAAGAAACAAAATACCGATAGCCTGAAATGATTTTTTGACAGCCTGGATGACACCGGCCTGACTGTAAAAATCATGCGAACGATTGTGGTCGCTGTATGCGAACAAATTGTTGGAACGGTTTTCTAACTGTGTAATACGAAGCAAATGTTGTGCATTCCCTAATGCCCCCTTCGCGGGCTTACGAAGCAGCCAAATTTTTCCCAAAACACTTAAATTAGTGCGTAAACGTGACAAAACCCGTCACCGTATCGCCGTAATGAAACAAGGCGAGGTGAGACCAGACACACGGTAAAGTCGGGCGGACGCGGCTGGCTGAACTGACGGTGAGCGATATCCGTGGAAACGAAGCGAAAATGGTACAAAAGCTTGCAGGTCGCAGAGCCGTCGGGACGGGTCGGACACGGTCAACCATGCGAGATCACCGCTCCTCACGCCACGAGTCGCAGCCGTCGATATATCGCTCGCGATACATTCCGCAGACATTGCGGCTGCGGCGCTGTGAATTGAACTCCAGATGGATTGGGCCTTTGGGGGGTGGATGGGAGGGGAGGGGAAGGGGTTGTCTTTGACCGCGGGCGTGTAACATATCAGTGTCATCCACTACTTCTGACAGCGCGCCGCCTAGTCCTCCAGGACGCAGGAGGGGGTGGGGCTCTGGGCCAGTGCGACCGTCTCGTCTATGGTTTCAATTCGGTTGAGAGACTTCCTCTATATCCTGCTCTGCGGTAAAAAAAGAAAGAAAAGAACTCCTGAAGTCTCCCTATCATCGGTATTTTGATCCGGACATGGTGTAACAAGCAACATTGTGTGATTACATTTCGTTGGACTAGGCCAAAGACTTGAACACGCTACAGCCCAAATAAAGTAGCAGGAATCGTTGTCCACAACGAATTGTCAACTTACTTATACCTCATTCTTGTTCTTTTATTTTGATTTGCAGGTGAGATTCGGACGACTGATGAGCGCAATTGGAGCACACGCCAGGCAAGGGGTAAGTCGCGGGCGACTGAAAAGACACCAAAAACATCTACAACAAAAACGCCCGGTCTTTCACGCACGTCTTGTTCTTCTCAAGCGAGGCTGGCCTCTGACCGCGAGGGGTGAAGGGGCTCCGCTGCGGGCGGGGGCGCGGGGGCTAAAGAGGGCGCCAGGAATATGTAGATAGTGGGAGAGGCAAAGGGGTGGGGGCGGCTGAGGCGGCCGGGGGGCTGATGCTGCCCGACCTAACTCCCCACTTGGGAAATTCTGCTGCTTTCAGCAAGGGAGGCCTATATATCTGCGGTGTGACTCATCCACAAATTATGCCACGTGGGTTTTTGACCTTACAGACTGACGCACCCCGCTGCCTCCTCCCCCCTCTCCCTCTGGCTAAAAACACATCTTTCTTGCCTCTTTTTCTTCCTCTCGCGTTTTTTTCTAACCCCGCCCCCTATTCCCCCCGCACGCGCTGCCTGCTGCGTTTGGGGCGTTGTAAAGTGCGGAACGTGTGCGTATGTGTGTGTTCTACGGTACGAGAGAAACAAAAATTGTCGGGATGCGAGGCGTTTGGGTGGATATGTGGTCGGAAACGGGGAGCAGGAGAGAGTGGGGCAAGGG